TGCTATTGGGGTGACTTGCCAAAAAAGTGTATTAAAATAACATTTGAATTGTCTAGAAAATTTGGTATAAGATAGAGTAATTTCAATTTAGACAGAGCAATATTATTTTATTAAACATTTTGTCGCTAAAGGCTTTATTGCTTATTAACTGAAGAGTTTGATTATTTAGTACTAAATACATCAACTGTCACCAACAATTCTAAATACATATTTCTATAGAGAACTCTAAATGTGCCAGAAATAATAGGTATCTATTTATTTATGTAGTCATTACGGTTAGAAATATTTTTTAAATACTTTTTCTTCATTAAGGTCCTCCTTCGGGGACGAGTAGAAAAGACAGGAGTGGGGATAGGATACTAAGGGAGTCGCTAGATTCTAATCCTAAAGGTGAAAGTAAGTTTGTTGATTAGAATTAACCACGACGAATTCCAGAGGAAATCGCATGAAAGTTATGATAGGGTATATTGTTGGCCACGGGGCCGCCAGTTTCCTTTACTAATACTTTTCCTCACATCATTAAGGTTCTTCTTGATACAGAATGATAAGATATTAGAACAAGACAAGATATGGGACATAGTCTGTGAATCGACATGAAGGGTGATAGTGATAGGTTGTTTATCAAAAAAAATCTCATTGTCTTAATGTATTAATTTTTAGGTGCGCAACGGGGATAGCCTCTACAAAGTGAAAATATTAATAGACACTATAGAATATATTTAACTTTGTCGAGTAGGTCGTAATTTAATTACTAGCTGTTAGTACTTGGGATCCTGTGATTTTTATTAATGAAGGGGTACACTTGTATTATCACCAAAATTATCTATTTCTTCTTTTAACTGAACACTTACAACATATCTTTTGCAGTATATGTATTTGTAATATAATTATTATTACAGAAAAATGTACGTTTATTTAAATATAGAGATACCTAGATACTAACTACCTCAAATGACCGAATGGAAAATAAGATTTGAAGAGAATATAATGAGGTGTTGTTAAGAGTCGAAATGTCTGTACCTACATTTAATTTGAAAAATGACTGAACAAACTCCAATTAGGTTTTGTAATAGGTATTAAATTCAACTTGAAAAGTAGTATAGGTATACATGTAAGTCATAAAATTTAATAGTAGTGTTTTTGAAAAACTTCTTTAGATAGTTCGTGGGGGGGGGGGGGGGTTATTTTAATATATGTTATTTACGTTTTAATTCTGCAAATTAATATAGTTTTGATTTAATGTAGTTAGAATAAATATAACCGCACGAAGTAAATTTATAAATTAATTAATATGAACTAGTTTTGTTAACATTATTTTATTACTAATATACTTAATTTAGTTTCAGTGATAGTACGAAGGGGTCATACCAGCACGTAGGTAGCATAAAACTATATTATTTTAGGGTCGCGAACCCATTAGTCTTTATTTTATTAACTCCATCCAAAATTAAATTATATATACACAGTTAAATTAAAAGAACTTACCAACTTTGGTGGAGTGTGGTTTAACGCACTGATACACTTTCTGTTAGTTGGGAGTTCGATCCGTACAAATTACAAATGTTTGTATTAACTTGTTGGTCAATCTCATGATGCAAGTAAGTGTACCTAAGTGTAATAATATAAAGAAAGCTGATATAAATAATTGTAGTTTGTACAATTACTTATGAGTTTACTAGATACGAGAGAGCAAACGTTTTACTCTCTATCTATGTTAGGCCATTTTATTTGTTCTCGATTTAAAATTTTTCAAATTGGTGTAAATAATGTATTTATATTAAAGCTTGAGCGGTTTAAGAGATTAGCACGAACGATCATCGTCTCATCAGATTTTTATATATTCTTTTAATTTTTATTTATATTTGTCTTTTCCTATGAAATTCATTTCTTTAACACTTCACTAGGTGAGGGTGCTAACAAACAAAAATGGTATTTACTTTTTATTGCAAGGTTAAACTTAATTTAATTTCGTCTCACAAACACTTTTATTTTTAATGGAAAAAATATTTTCTTATTGAGAAAAAAGTACTTAATGTTAAACAAATTTAGTATTTAAATCGACTATAAATACCTACTAATTAATCATGAATATTCTACATATGCGATTAGTGTAGAGAGGAAAAGAACACAAAAAAAAAAACAAATTAATTCCTTGAAATTTTATAATATACCTTTTGTTTGTAATAGAACGTAAAAGTAGGTATAATGAGTTTTCATTTTCTCAGATTCAATAATATTTCTATGTATTAGTTATGCTCGAAAATACCGTTTTATTATATATTCTATGGTCTTGATTCACACAATAAAATTAGCTAGTATCTGTCATTCAATAAAATAAAAAAAAAACATACCAATAACAGCGTTATTCAGTACAATTTCAGTGTGTTACAGTATAGTAGATATCCTTATGCATGTAACTAGAGCATTTACCAGATGTACTAAGAACAGTAAATATTAATACATTTCAAGATGTTCAATTTCCCTTTATCCGCGACAACAGAAACTCCATTCTGTGAAACTATAAGCCAAATGAATTATATAAATAGTTAACTTTAAAAGTCATTAAAGCTCTTCAAATATTTAATATTATTTTTGTTATATTGCAGTATAACTTTTAGGAATAATATAATAAAGAGACATTATTTACGTAAATTATTCAGTTTAAAGCTTTTCAAATATTTGTGTTATAATATTAAATGGTGTAATTTGTATGAGTAGCAACAGTATATTGAAGAGATATTTTTATTATTTGTTTTTATGTTTATTATGTTGGAGTTTTAATACTGGCTGTTGACACTGAGGTTTTTTAGAACAATGTATTATTTTTAAGTTAGACATAGAACACTATGTCAGATTTTTCTAAGACATGTCTCGTATTTTTTCACTAAATTTATTATTTTATATCACAAATACAAATAAATTTTATTACTGCATCTTACTATTTACAACACATTATTTCATAAGGTTTTTATCTGAAAGGATGTGCTTTTAAATCATTGATAGAAATTTTGTCAAATCATATCAGTAGTTTAGTATTGAAATAAAAAAAATTGATGCCACGATTGTTTTAGTTTTTTTTTTTTTGTGGAATTAAATTTACTTGTGTTTCTTATAATGGATATAACATAAAACCAAGTATAATAACAATCGAATGCTATTCGATTGTAATACTATTACGGGCCAAGAAAAAACGCAGCTTATCATACATCTAAAGACGTTTCTTTGACCCGTTTAGATTTTTCGATCAATCTCACTAGAAACCTGCAGGCAAACACTGCTTTTGAGAACTTTAATCAAGTTTGTATGTTTTTCATCTACATAATTTCAAACTCAGAGAGAAAATGTCGCATAAAAACCTAACTTTTTCTTTTGATATAGTAACTTTTTACGAATGCTCTTCTATTTGTGAAAACAGTTAGGAACATCGTAGTCTAAGTTTAGCTGTTTGTTTTATGGCATTGCTATACTTTTATCATCGAACTATGTTCGCTTTCGTATATTTTGTATTACATATTCTAAGAATAGATAATATTTTTAGAAATAGTTGCATATACTTAGTATTTATTTTCGAAAGTTTGAGAATCCTAAATCAGTATTGTATGAATGACTGAATAAATGAGTAAATGAATGATTTCTTTCCAATTTAATTTGCAAGACTCATTTTGTTGAGACGGCAAACACAAGAGAATTATGTTTGCCGTTGGTTTAGAGCAAAGAGAAAATTGATTTATTTATATTGATCTATTGATACATTGATTGACAATATTTAAATATATTTGTTGAATTTCCTAAAAATTCCTAAAGAATATATTTTATAATAATTATTGTCACAACTTCAGTCCAGGAAGATTAGGCTAAATATATTTTTGCTGAAAACCGGCTCTTTACATGAATCTGAAATTTCTATTCAATTCTGTTTGGACGTACTAATTTTTGTTTCTATATGGATACAGCACCTGATTTGTTAGCAAATTTCTTAACTTCTTATTATCCTGGTATTGATAGGGATACTAATGGATGGTATTTAATTATGACGGCACGAGATAGATATTCCACTCATGCTAATAACTTTTTGTTCCAAGTCTTTTTATTTTCCTTGCCTGTTTAGTTGGAATATAGTTAATTAAACTTAGCTCTTCTCAAATATACAATTATGTTGTTTGATACTTTGTGATTCATTTAACATGGATTCCCCAATGTAAATTCTTGTAGTCATAATATCTAAAAGTAATTTTTAGCTCTATCCCTTAATTACTGAATAACACAATAGTTTAATGGTAAGTTATTTCTGTGTGACCCAAGAATAAATATTATTTCATTTTAATTAGTGGCTGTACTTTTTTATTTATTTTATTTTCATTTATTTTTATACAATCATAACTAATGAATAATATATAATATAATATAGAGCTTCCTACAATAACATTTCAATCTTATAGAAAATACCCACCAATTCACAATCAGCATAATAAAGTAACTTTATCAAGAAATTTTTGATGGATGCTAATGAACAATTACTGGATAAATCAATATCCGTAATACTAAGTTTGTTATTGTACAATTTACAAAATTTTAATGTTTTTATAGATGTTTATAGCTATCTTTCTATGACATGAAATGAAATAAGATTCTTTTTTGGTGGTGTTAAAACAAACAAGTATAAAAAAGAATATTTACTTTATGTAACAGATTACAGAAAAATATATAAAAAAAATATCCAAATATATATCTATAATTGCCCGCAAAGTATCTATTTATCTTATTATATATTTTTATTATTTAAGAGCTAAACATTAAAAATAATGTGTAATATACCTAAAAGCATTTCAGGCACTAAATTCAATTGATTAGGAGAATGTTAGAAAGTAAAATATAGCAGTTGACATTACACTTATGGTGCTGGCCGACAAATGAATTGGCGACATGATATCGGGAACGTTTGGCGCACCCCTGAATCTAAGGGCGCCGCTTTTATTCTCGACCAGTGTTAGTGAAGGCAGTCCCGGTTTCGGTCGCCACTTTCTCGTCTCCGTACGATTTACAATATCGCACAAGTTGAGTGGCTTCAGTGACATTTTTCGGAATTATTTCAAATTGTCGTGTGTGTATATTGACTTTTATGTTGTATAAATCAACTTATAAGTTATTGTAAAATCTTATATACTTGACTGTGAATTTCTATATCGTTCAATTTAAAGTGATCAAAGTTTGTTAAAAATTATTGGTTTTACAGGAATTTTTACATGGAAAGGATTTAATTTTAATTAAGGTATTGTATTTTGATATAAGTATAACTTTATAGTTAGTTATTGTTTACTTTTAACCAATTTCAAGAAGGAGGCTGTTATCAATTGTGACTAATAGTATTTTTTTTTGTTATGATTTTTTAGGCTTATTTTTAGCTTGTTTTTAAAATATATAATTTTAATAGGTAGATTTTTAAAATATTGATTGCATAATGGATAATGTTTTATGGTTAAGTAATAAACCAATATTTATACAGAAATAGATTCAATAATAAAATAAATATGTGTTTGCTTTTGTGTTAAACTTTATAAAATAAAATAGATCAAGTGCAGTTTGGATTCACATACCAAAGGTCTGTATATAAAATCCAACTACTATTATAAACTACAAAGTTTATGTGGATGTATTGATGGATGTTTTTTACTCTTTCACGCTTAAATGGATAAAAATCGGATTGTATAACGTAAAAGTTTATTTGTAAAGGTTTGTTGATTATTTATGAGTTGAAGATAACTTTGATTGAGAAAGATTGATTTTTCTTATAATATTTATATGTACTTTTAGAAATTGTAATTATGTACATTTTTTGCTTCACACATTTTGGAGATAAGTTTTTTGTCATGAATCAATAATTTCAGGGAATAATAAGGAATTAAAAATTGACTTTAGATTGTAAAAATATTAAATTTCGAGCACTTCTTTTAAATACTTATTCTTTTTTAATCCTTAGAAATAAAATGAAAATTGTAGAATACGCTGGCGCGCCTATGATATTCTTTATGCGTTATTATTTCAGAGAATTAAGATTTTATGCTAGCGCATCCTTTAATTTATTTACAATATCCCACCTTACACATCGAAACATAGCCAAGCAAGCAGGGGTATTTGCGACAAAACTGGGATACATAGAAATATCCAAGTAGACGATATTTGTAGTCTCTCCTCTCCCTCGGGTAACGTGAGTAATTGTGTAATTACTTCTTTGAATGTGGTTTAAGATAAGGAAATAGGCTATAAATATTTCAGTTAACACCTTAAAATGCGTTAATGTTAGTGAACCTTATAATCGAATCTTGCCAGATCGATATCTGGGAGTCAAATATTTTATGTATCTAATTATTAAAACATGTAATTTATTGTTAACCAAAACTAATTCATAAAATTATAATCTACAATGTATGGTAAGGTGGTAGGTGAGGAGTGATGAATTTTTCTTCCTCTTTCATGCAAAGTCTTTTAAACAGATTTGAATGAACTTTAGGTACACCTGTAGGTTATATCCTAACTTAAAACATATTATATAAATTGATGCACACAATCAAAGACGGGGGACATAGCTAGTGTTTAATGAATTAACCCTAATTTTAAAATTAAACTAATAACAGGTCGATTCTGAAGTGCTATTTGTTTAACTCTATCCTAATCTATTTTAATTTGACAGTTACACGAAATTACAGTTTTATGATTACCATGATATCTTAACACACTGTCAATAAAGAGTATTTATCTATTGCCACGGCAATTTTCAGAAATCTGGCCTAAAATGATAATTTGATTAATTCACATTATATTATTAAAAACTCTAACTCTAGTGCATAGTTTCATCAAAAACATAAAAAAACAAACAAACATTAAAATATTATTTTATTTCTTGAATTTGAATTAGTTTTTATAATTATTTTTTTTGGTTATTTTTTAATAAATTTTTGGTTCGTGGCAGCCAGATTTTTTGTTATTTACCCCAGAAGCCATCTATCGATATTAGTACTGATATATTCCGAGTTTAATAGTAGCTGCACAAGAGTAGCAAGTAAACCCAGGACGAGATAACCCGTAGTTAGCGTCCTAGAAAAGAACGCAATCTACGAGTTATCTCGTAGTTGGCAGTTAACGTGTTAACCATAATAAACTGAATTTATAATAATTTTCATTCAAATATATTATAAATTTAGTTCACATTGGTCCTTAGAATAAAGGTTTCGTTGTCATTTCAAATAAAATTTCTAATTTTAGAAATAGTTTTAGTGAAAGCCTTGAAATCTATATCTCTATCATACGATGTCATTTACAGTCTCTGTAAGCATGTTAAGAGGCATGTTACATGATATTTTCGCTAATTTTAAACCGATTTTGATAATTCTTTTTGCAATCAATTAGTCGTTAGTGAGATTATTCGATTAGTTATTAGATAATTTTATCACGGTTAAATTGCTATTTTTTACGACCTAACTTAATTAATCTTTTAATCGATACTAGCTTCTTGCTTGCTATTTTGTACCCGTGATTTTCAGACAGGAAAACCTATTAATAGACCAATTCTAGATCGCATACCAGGACAAAACGTACAACAATTTTTATGTTAGATCTTTAGGAAGACAACAGTGATAACTGGATTATATTATAGTAATACTAGTGGAGTAGTTTTTGTGTTTTAAACAGACAAACAGTTAAAAATTTCTAAAAATTGTTTTGGCTTTTATTGTTCCCACTAAAATCTCTTGCATAATTTTTTAAACGCACCCATGTACAGATGTATATTAGTAAGACTAGCTTACTGATATAATAAAATTGTAACTGAACCACTAAAGATTACTAAATCATAACTAGATATTTATAATTCATTAGACAAATGGCAAAAAGTTACCCTTATAATTTTGTCACGTTTATCTATCTATCTGAAGGTTTGGCTTCTGTTCTGTACATCACAGCGACTTTATTTTTGTAGATTAACGTTCTCTGTCCAATACATTGTATCATGTCATGACTGCAATAGAAAACTATCAAGCACGAAAGGTGCTATTTAAAATACGACTACGCCTACTACAGGGCTACTCACTACATGGTACGTCGTAGACACTGAGTTTATTATTTATATTGAGCAATTTCACATACGTGTTTGTGTTGTGTTTCGACGTTACTGAATTTTTTAGGCCGGGGGTCATCTGCAGGTATAGATTCGGCAACGGCACAAAACATGCTCAGATGGTTTAGTCATCGTATATTACAGTGTTTATCAGTTACAGAACAGTTTAGTAGATGTTGTCTGATAATATATAAATATACATAGGTACTTTTTATTGTTCCTTACAAATGAGATAGATGCATTTATTGCATTACCAGCTCTATCGGGTAGCTTTTTCCGTATGAATCAGTACGTAAAATATCCTATGTTCTAAGTTAAGATATAGTCTAAACATGTACTGAATTAATTTCTAATATGTTTAGTAGTTTTGGCGTGAAAAAGTAACAAACACCAATATAGAAATCGTCATAAATTTTTACATTTATAATGGTAGTAGGATTACCATACTAAATTGGTAAAATATATGTTTTATATATTAATGTAAATAAATACTTCTGTAAATATTTACCCATACTTATTTTCAATATTTTTGATCGCTTTATTTATGTTAAAAGATAAAAAGAGAAAATGGTTAAATAAGAAAATGCTATAAAGCATGAAATCTGTTTTTTTGTTGTAACATATATTTTGTAAATATGGTTAATACAGTATAAATAAATAATTTTTAGACGTCGTATACGAGAAACCTATGGTTAGGATTGATTGAAACGTGAGTACGTTGCGGTGGGCAGAGTACTATTGTTATTATTATGAAACCAAACCTAAATCGAGATGTAGAATAACGATCGCCATTTCATTCTATCCCCAAGAGGTTAAAAGAAACGACAGTAGATTTTTTTAACCTTCCTTCGTTTGGAGTCATTCGCATAAAAAGCTCGAAAACCATCTGTTAGAATCAAATCAAAATGGGCTTATGCCATATAAGTAAAATTTCACCCGGATTTTGCAATGTAAATAATATTGAAACCCAACGATGCAAATAATAAAGGAACGGTTTATCTTAAATTGTATTTGACTTTGTTTATAAGGGTTTACATAAATTTGCGGAGGTCTGTCTGTAGATAAAACAAATTATGTAAATATAATATATGTATATTTAATGAAAAAATATAACAATTAAATTTTTTATTCACCTTATGATTAATTTCGATTTTAGCTGATCTTTAATAACAGGTTGACATTGTCTCGTTGAAATGAATAAATAATTTACTATCAAAATATTATATATATATATATATATATATATATATATATATATATATATATATATATATATATATATATATATGTACTTAGAAAACTTTTAACAATAAACTTGTTGTTATTCATTAAGTTTTATTATTATTATTATTCTACTAGCTGTTCCCCGCGACTTCGTCCGCGTTTCCGTCGTTTTTCGTAATATAAGTAACCTAAGTTCTTCCTCACGGTTCAGTGGTTTTGGTGTAACGTCGAGTAGTTTTTGTTTCTATAACAAACATACAGACAGACAGACAAAAATTTTACTGATTGCATTTTTGGCATTAGTATCGATCACTAATCACCACCTAATAGTTATTTTGGAAATATATTTCATGTACAGAATTGACCTCTCTACAGATTTATTATAAGTATAGATGTATATTGAGCAGACTATTATAAATTAACATGGATATACTCAAGCTATTAAACAATGGTTGTATATCAATTTCATCTCAAGTTTCTTACGGTATATATATAGAGGACTAAGTACTGAAGGCATATTTTCAATCATACCTATTCCCATACTTATATTCTACATAGTACACCTTTTTCTTATTTTTACACTTATGTGTTTCATATATAAAATATATTTGTATATTTTTCATTTACACTTATTTAGTTACTACGTCTTATTTCGTCAATTGGGCAGCTTTCGCATTTTGTCTGTATTTATTCTAGTTTCATTAACTTTCTATATTACTCTCTATAAGCGGATGAGGATAACTATGGAGTTATTAGAACCAGCTGCGCTTTTTGGCTGCCGAATATTCTTTGTTCGACATTAACTCTTATGGTAGTTATAAATCAGCGGTGTATTTCCTATTATTACTGGATTTTCATCCAAAGTATATAACTTCGTCCTTCATAAACCTTTCTTTAAAATTCTGTGGTTTATAATTGTTGATCAAATTATAGTG